TCCACTGCCTCCCCACCTAAGGGGCCTGTGGACTGACCGAGAAAGAGGTGGTGAAGATGAAAAGCTGACCCACCTCACAGGAAATCCATTGTTTAGCCAAATCCAGGACTGAGAAAAACACACACACAAGTGTAACATTGGAGAAAGGAGAGCAAGGTGCCATTCAAGGCCATTGTCAGGGCCTCCTCGCTGTGCATGGGGGAAACAATAGGGCCCTGTGTGCGGGAGGACAATGCTGTGTGTTATCAGCTGTGTCTGTGTCGCTCCTGGGACCGAAGGATGAGAAATGAGGCCACAGTGCCCTCCTGGAATTCACGAACCAGAGCCACCAGCCCCATGGGAGGCCATGGCATTCTGTCCCGGGGATAGGGACGCCTGCTCAGCCATGCCCCCTCCTCCCTCCCCCTCCCCCCCCCCCCCCCCCCCGCCCTCTCTTCTCTAGTCCCCTTCCAGAGACTCACCTCGAGTTAGTGCTGAAAAGAACCACACATATCACCTCTCTAAACATGCACATCCTCTACTCCAAACCTTGACTTGAGTGAGGGGGCACCTGGCTGGGACCACTGCCCGGCCACACAGCTTACGCGGCCCAGTTGGCAAGGCCAGGTGAGCCATCATGTGGCGGCATCCATGGCAACCCCACAGCGGACCAGAGTGTATGAGACCAGCAAGCTCGCAGAATGACCTCATGTGCTCCCGCCTTCATCCTGGCTCTGCCACCAATCACCCCTGGACCGTGAGGGAGGTTGTTCCCTGACCGTCAGTTTGCCTGCCTGAAAACTGGGATTCTTTCAGGGTTAAGGTCAGGATTATACGAGTGGATACAGGTACAACTCTTAGAACAGTGCTTACTCCATAGACATCGCTTGGGAAGTATGAATGGCAACTTAGATGCCCACATCACCCCAAGGACTTGCTTAGATCCATGAAGAGATGGATGGAAACCTAGGGTCCCACATCCCAAATTTAGCCCCACCACCCACAACGGCTCACATCGCTGACAAATACTCCCAGGGATGAGGCGGGTGACAAATGCATGGAGAGGGTCAGCTGTGACACACCGAGGGTCACTCACCAGTCAGCTGTGCCCTCACCAGTCTTCAGGGGCGGCCGGGACGCAGTTCCTGCCAACGGCTGCCACGTGGAAAGGTGGGATCAGCATGGGTAGGCCGGTCACAGAATATAAAAGAACCAGAAATGTGAGTTTTTATGTCAGATCTCCCCATTTCTAAACACTGTGTTTCTAAAGACATTGTCACTGCGGAGTTAGCCCCAAATCACGTGGCATGTGATGCCTGATCTGGACATGGATGACATGCCAGTCCCGTGCACACCTGTAACGGTCAGTCCCTCCGTCCCCAGTTTGCCTGTAGTCTACTGGTGAGCGGGCCACTCTTTGGCTTGGAGCAGAGGACCAAAAAGGCAGAGCTTCCCTCTCCCTGGACACCACCCTCATCTCAGTCCACACCCTGGGGGTGATGAAAAGGGAAACCGGGGAAATGAGGGGGGCTCACCCTAAAGGACCCCAGGCCCTATGGTTTAATCCACTCCATGCAGGTGTTCTTTTGATAAAGAAGGCAGTCAGGCCCTGGCCAGTGTTACTCAGTGGTGAGAGCATTGGCCCATGCACCCAAGGGTTGTGGGTTCAATTCCTGTTCAAGGGCATGTACCTGGTTTGTAGGTTTGATCCCCAGGCCCCATGCTAGAGGCAACCAGCAGATGTGTCTCTCTCACATCAGTGCTTCTGCTTCTCTCTCTCTCTCCCTCCATTCCACTCTCTGAAAAAGCAATGGGAAAAATATCCTCAGGTGAGCTTGAACACAAACAACAAAAAAAGAAGTCAGAACTTAGAGTTGGGTCCAGCCTAAGAGGTGAAATGTGCTTCTATGGATGTGCAACTCCCAAGCAAGATGGCTCGGATTGAGATGCCACTTCACAGCCCGGAGGCGGCTGTGATCTGAACGACCTCATAATAAGAGCTGGTGAGGAGTGGAGGAACGGGAACCTCCAACCCTGCTGACAGGATGTAAAGTGACCCAGCCGCTCCGGGACACAGTCCAGCAGCTCCTCACAAAGTTAAACAGAGTTACCATGTGAGCCCACAATTTCTCTCCTGGATAGATATCCCCCAAGAGAGATGAAAACATAAATCCACACGAAACTCCTACAAGAGTGTTCACAGAGGCATTATTCACCATAGCCAGGAGGTGAAATCAATCCCAATACCCACCCATGGATGAATGGATACACAGAATGTGCTTTATCATACAATGGAAATGATTTAGCAATCAAAAGGAATGAAGTAGCCCGGCTAGCGTGGCTCAGTGGTTGAGCATTGACCTATGAGCCAGAAGGTCGTGGTTTGATTCCGGTCAGGGCACATGCCCGGATTGCAGGCTCAATCCTCAGTGTGGGGTGTGCAGGAGGCAGCCAATCAATGATTCTCTCTCATCATGAATGTTTCTATTTCTCTCTCCTTCTCTCTTCCTCTTTGAACATGGATGAACCTCAAAACTCCTGGGATAAAGGGCGGGGGAGGAGAAACAATAAAAATACCACATATTAGATTATTCCGTTTATATAAAATGTCCAGTATAGACAAATATATAGAGACAGAAAGTAGATTGGTGGTTATCTAGGGCTGGGTGTAATGGAGATTTTTTTTTTTGGGGGGGGGGGAGTTGGTGGCTAAAGGGCATGGTGTTCTTTCTGGGGTGGTAATTATGTTCTCAGATGGACTGTGGTGGTAGTTACATAACTCTGAAAGTAACTAAAACCCATTGAACTATACACTTGAAGTGGGTAAATTGTATATGTGCATTATACCACAATAAAACTATTACCAAAAAAAGAAACTCAAACTATGATTGTGACCCTTAATTGCCTTCAATTAAAAAATGTCTGCATCCATATTGCTCTGTTCACATCAGCTCCACCGGAGGAGACAAGAAGGCCTCTGAAAGGATGCTTTCCCCAGGAGATCAGACCTCAGACCAGGGTGACTCACTGGCCCGCTTTACCCAATGCAATCCCAGTGTTAGCACTGAACATCCCAAGAAATCCTTTATCCCTGGGAAAACTATCCCTCGGCCACCCTGGGGCAAGCAAGCCCTTTCCCATAGCACAGGGAAGCTCTCCCCATTAGGGCTGCCAGCAGCGAGGACCAGATAAACAATCCTCTCCATTTTGGGTATAAGTCATCCCTAAGCTCCTCCTCACAGTCAAGAGATAATTTCATTACTGCTGTCCCCATTTTACAGATGAGGAAACTGAGGTTCAGAGAGATGAAGTAACTGGCCAAAACAGGGGCTAGGAATTGAACCTGCATCTTTTTCCAAAGCCCGAGGTACCCCTTCTACTCGTCGTATTGTCTCTCGCAGTACCACTGGGCCAGTTTCCTGGGAACACCCTTACATTGTGTTGGCTCCCTGGGGAAGCCAGATGTCCAGACAGAAGCAGCATGAGCTTTTTAGCTCTGGGAAAACAAAGAGACAAGAACAGTTTGGTGGTTAACAACACGGACTGTGGAGTCAGTCTGTTCCAAGTTTGAATGTGAGCTCTGCTGGACAAGTAACTAAACTTTTCTGTGATTCAGCCTTTACCCCTTTATGTAAAATGGGAGAACAGTACTGTGTGGTGTGTGTGTGTGTGTGTGTGTGTGTGTGTGTGTGTGTGTGACATAGGGATGTTATCGGAAATAAATCAATAAGTGTGGGAGAGGCTTAGACAGAGAGAGGCAAGTTGATGAAATAAATGAAAGCACAGTTCGACATATTCAGAACTGGGAAGAATTCAGATGAGTCCTAAAGAGAGCCAGGCAGAGGGACAGAGGCATGACAATGAACTCTCACATCCTATTCTGTTTCTTCCCATGAAAAGGTTTCAGATTGAGGAGTTGCTGGAAACTCCCCACTCCATAGTGTGCTGTGCCAGCATTGCCAAGGGTGACCCTGAGTGGGGGTGGTGAAGGATTGAGAAAAGACAGACAAGAGAATGAAAGCTGGGTCTCAGTGGGATGCTGTCCTCTCTGACAGAGAGCATATCTGATGGAGAGCTAGTGAAAGCGCCATAGACTAGAAGCTGGGTCTTTATTTTATAGCAGATGCCAGGAGGCAAAGGAAGGGTGTAGTCAAGATGTTTACAACATTCTCATGGTTTTGATCCTACTCAATGACATGCATCTGGTCAAGCTTTGTTTACTTGCAGCCACACTGGGGCACCTGGAGCCATGTGTTTGGACCATAGGTTCAAGCTTACAACTACAGCTGTTGGCTATCATTGTGCGGGAGGGCTCTGCCCTCCAAGCTGGGACTTGCACGTGACCATGAGAGGACTGTGCCCTCTCATTAGTCCGAGACTTGAACTTGTCCAAATACTGTGACGGCCCTCCACATATAGGCACACCTTTAAAAGCACCCTGGTGGTGACAACCCAGGCAGCTCTACACCAGTGGATGGCACCAAAGCCCTAAGTGAATCAGTTTCCCCATCTGGATGAGCCAAATGATACCAGCTCCTATCTATCTCCCGCAGAAGGAAACTATACACGCGAAAGCAATTATGCATTCATTCTTCGGGATAGGGGAGAAGGGTGAGTTCCAAGAATTCCGGTAATGCACAGCCACACTGTATTCCCAACCAGCCAAGTAGCGGGTCCCTGCGCTCCCACGGAGCCCACCATGCAGGCGCATTCCTCAAAGCAGCCAGCCTACCCACTTGGGTCGAGGAAAATCAGAGTTCCCCTAGATCTCCTAAGTAAACAAGCCCAGCCATTTCCACCGCGAAAGCCCCACCCGCGTCCTCCCCACCCCATTGCCCTCACGTCGTCTGGCGAACCTGGCCAGTCCCCTAGCCCTTCTGGGCTCCTCCCCATACCGCAGTGCCCCCGGCCTGGCGGTTTCCGCCTCCCGGAAGGACTACAGTCCCCGGCATGCCCCGCGGCGGCCGAGGGGACCACATGACTGCGCCTCTCCCATGAGGCGGTCACATGACTAGGGGAAAATGGCTGCGTTGACTGCAGAAAACTTTGGGGCGCTCCAGAGCCTGCTGAAGGTAACTGGAGGGGTGGGGACGGGCCGAGGCGCCCTTTGTCCCCGGGATTTTAGGCGGAGGAGGAATTGGGAATAAGGGGGCCTTGATTTGGAGTCAAGACTCTTGACACTACCTCTCCGTGGCCCCGGGGAAGTCGTTGCGCGTTTCCTGGTCTTTAAAAAAAAAAAAAGTGAATATAATTTATCCCGCCCTCACCATGATGGGGGAACAAATAAGATAATGGGTTGTGAAGGCGCCGTGCAGATGCCTCCTACTAATGGGGCCGGCTTTGGTGATGGGTGCAGGAGGGGGGTAATTGCCAGGCCCGCGGGGCCAGTTCCGATGGCAGCCTGCAGCCCCTCGGGCTGGGAGTGGAGAAATGGTCTCTTGCGTGCGCCAGCCCCTGAGTCAAGGGCATTCTTCCTTCACGGAGCCCAGGATTTTCTGTACCTCCTTTGACCCATGTAAAGGCCAAAAAATTCTGATGATCTTTTGAAGGATTGTGAGGTTGAAAGGGTCATACTTCATAGAGTTTCAAAGGCTCTAATGAAAGGCTGGAGTTATTTGCTTAACTTCTGACTTCCTCCCTAGGAAGGGGCGGCTTTAGCTTCCTTCGTAGTTCTTGTCACTGGCGGACATTATGCGTCTGTCGCCTTTCTTCCTCACAAGAATGTAAGATCCATGAGGGACTTCTTAAAAAACAACAATGCACCGGAGGAAGAGGATTGAGTTAATAACACTCAGCATTGATGCATGCAGTGGTCCCTTTGTTGTTTTAACCACTTCCCCCATGTTTTGTCCTATTCTCCATCCCTAAAAGCATCTATTTTATTCACAAATCTGTCGCCAACAAGTGTACCCCCCATCCCAATACCTGGCATACAGCATGTGCTTAATAAATAGTTGTTGGATACATTAATGAAGGACGTAATAAATCTGGAACTGGAATCTGGAATCTGGGACTGGAAACCTAAAGCTCACCCTCATTGTGACTGCCCCTCTCTCCCCCATTGGAGGTATGGACTAATGTGGTCAGGCTCTGCTGATCCCTCTGGGTGACGGGGCAGGGAGCACCCCACTTAGCCCCACCCTCTGACTTGGCCTTGTCTGACACCCTGGCAGCAGGGATGTTGGGACACCTTGTTACAGCTTTCCTAGGGTGGAAGTCTAGGCTTCCCACTCGGTGACCTGGGTCAGGGTGGGGCCACCGTTCTTTCTGTGGTGGTTGGCTGGAGTAGAGTGGTTATTGTCTAAGGTTTTCTATTTTGCTAGGCTGCCCCGACTTGGCCTATTGGCCAAAGAGAGCAGGAACTTGTGGGAGCTTTTTGCTTTCTGCACCCATTGGCATTCTCCATTGCTCTTTCTTCAGCTCAGAGTCTGGGATGTATGAACAAAAAGAAAACGCAGGGAGCTCACCACCATGTCATTCCTTGGTCAGGAGGGCGGTCCACAGCAGGTTGTCTTCTCTCCCTCTCTTAGTTGTCTTAGGTTTGTTTTCCATATAGTGCCCAGGATTGCTAGTTGTACTGAATGGGAAGAAGGAGGAAAAGTGCTTCTCATCCATCTTCCCTAGGTACATTCTGTTCTAAAGCACGTATTTTTGGTGATTTGTTTTCCATCTGTGGACCAATTCATAGGCTTCCTCAAAAGACATTGTCAGACAACTATGCCAACAGAGCTTTTCCAGTTCAGCCCTCGGCTCGAAAGAACTGCTGGATACCACGTGCTCCAGCTTGTCGGTGACCCAGGAGGAGGCAGAGCAAGTAAGTGTGACCAGCAGTGACCTTTGACCATCGGGCTCTCAACTCCTCAGTCTCTTTCTTGACCCCCCTGCCCTCATGGCTGTGTCCAGGAAATGTTCCCCTTACATGTCTGTCGACATGAAAGCAAACTTAGATTTTTACTTTTTTAGTGTCAGTGAACTGAACACCTTTGTTTGGAACCTTTATTTCCTTGTTGGAAATGAGGCGTGGCTGGGCGACCTTACCCAGAATCAGAGCTCCTGACCGTTTCCTTTTCTGACTTGTTACCTACACAGTGTGGCCAAAAAGCAACCTTTTTACGGTTTTTCATTCCAGGCCTGTAACTTGCTGATGCTTATTAAATGTTGGTTGGATACTTAGGCAGACTTTTCAGGGATCCCTGGGCAGAAACTGGGAGGATGTTGTTAGGGAGGATGTTGTTATATCGGCTGGACCTCTCCTCGGCTCAGCTGATGGCCAAGAGGAAGGGGAAAGTGTGGCTCCTGGTATGGAGCTCTCACAGCCTTATTTTTCCAGGGCAAACAGTTTTCTAACACAAGAGGTCACCCAAACTGGCCCATGTTGGTGGTGGTGGTGGTGTTATTATTTCAGTCTGGAGCTTTGTTCACTGAGGTTGGCACATGGGCATTGGCATTGACAACAGAGGCCTAAGGGCTGGTGGGACTCTATTGAATGACTAGCAATGTGTGGCAGGCCGGGAGGAGAGCTCTGTCCCCTGTCCCCCGTCCCCATCTCCTGGCCCGCTTCTCCTCACCACCCAGGACTCCCCATCTCTCCTGCAGCTGCTCCAGGCCCTGCACCGCCTCACCAGGCTGGCGGCGTTCCGGGACCTGTCCACCCCCGAGGCCGTGCTGGCTCTCTTTCCTGCAAATTTCCACCAGAACCTCAAAAACCTGCTGACAAAAATCATCCTAGAAAACATGTGAGTGCTCCTTTCTCCAGAGTTCCTTGTAAGTTTATATTTGTTCTTCCTGTTCTAGAATGAATACGTTCATTCTTGAAAAGCACACCTGGTGAGCAAAAAGAAGCCCCTGATCCCGCCCCCCAGAGGGTCGCAGTGTGCATTCCTTAGCAGGAGCCTCTGGGGGCACAGAGGGTTGGAGGGCATTTCTGTTTTTAACGTAGTGGGGAGATGCCCCTTTACAATGAGCTGATTTGCAATGAACAGTATTAACGTTAATGATATTTCAGGTCCATACATACTTACCTCCAGTAACATTTGTAGTGGCTAAACAGATTCCATTGTATAAAGAAATTCTGTGTAATTCAGTTAAGAAATTCCCAAGGGTTAGACACTTAAGCTGTTGGCCATGTTCACTTCAGTGAACAATTTGTCACAGAAACTTGCCTGCGTACTTATTCCCTTACTGGACTACAGGCCATGGGCGGCCATGGGCAGTGTGGCTCAGTTGGTTGGGCATCGCCCTGTGCACCAGTCGGCACGTGCTGGCCGTGGGCTCCTTCTCCGGTAACAGGCATGCAGAAGGCAGCCGATCGATGTTTCTCTCTTGCATCAATGTTTCTCTCAAATCAATATAAAAAGGAGACTAGGCTAACCTTTTCTCTGCTTGTCTGAGAATGATGGCCAAGAAAATGGCAATGCATTGAGCCCTTTCCTTTTTTTAAGTGGTAAAAACGAACAGCACTTTGTCCTTAAAAGTTACTGAGTTTTACAAATAAACAAACGACTGCTCACTGGAGTGAGGTGTTCCTGTGGTCCTTTCCGATCAGGAGGTGATCACAGGTTTGGGGGTCACAGAGTGGGGCAGAGGCCCTGGTCCATGGGCCTCTCCCGTTATCCTTTGCCGTCATGTTCACTTCATCTTTCCCTCTAACACAGATCTACATGGCGAGCAGAAGCCCAGGCTAACCTGAGTGAGTACCACGAAATGTGCCTTTTCTTCCTCACCCTCCTTCCCAGCCCAGCTCCCAACCTGCCAGGTGGCGAGTTTTTTTTAACCAAAAATCAAAGGGAATTAACCTAATTCCAAGCTCAACATTTATGTGGGTTTTTTAAATTCCACTTATTAGTTTTTTTCTGATTATAAACTTAATATAATATAGGCATGTTGTGAAAAAACAAACAAACTGAAATTTCCAAGTAATAAGTGAGATACTGAAAATAATGATATTTCCATTAGGAAAGAAAGACATAATTGAAATTAGTGTGAAAGATTGAATCAAAGTGGGTATTTGATAAAGGATCACGAAATTTACTCGGGGCTAGTCACTCTGCCGAAGAACTCTGCCTGCATTGCTCATTAGTCCTCCCAGCACTTGGGAGCGAGGCTCAAATTACCCCCATTTTACAGATGAGGAAGCAGAGGCTCAGAGGTCAGGCAAGCGGTGGAACTGTCTCCCAGCCAAGTCTTTGTCTCTCAAACAAAAGCTCTTTCCACTGTTGTCGAAGCTGCACGTTTCCTAAGCCTCAGGCCTCCACCCGTCTTCTCTACCTGCATCCTTTCTTGTCCTATCCTGCCTCCCAGGGGCCCGGATTCAGGCAGCAGCCTGGAGAGGCTGCCGCAGCGAGTCAGCACTCAGCGCAGGTGGCAGGGAGCAGAGTCAGCACTCAGTGCAGGTGGCAGGGAGCAGTGGGCCCGTCTGTCTCCCTCCATGGGTCACATGCATCACACAGGGATAGCCCATTGCATGAATTGTCCTTGTGAACACGCTTGACATTTTCTCAGTGCCTGTCACAGTAACGGCTCGGTAAATAGGGGGACGTGAGCGCTGAGCTGGGCTGTCCTCCCCCTCCTCCCCCACAGTCTCTCTGCCGCGCCTGGTGGACCTGGACTGGAGAGTGGACATCAAAACCGCCTCCGACAGCATCAGCCGCATGGTGGTGCCCACCTGCCTGCTCCAGATGAAGGTACGGCCATCGTCATCCTCACTAGGAGGACAGAAGGGCGGCAGCGATTCGGCACTCCTGGGGGCCATGGGCAATGCCAGTCTCCAGGGTTCGGGGCCCTCTCACTCCTTAAGCAAAAAAGCTTCAGCTCTTCCCCAGACACGGCATTTATGACGAAGTATATGTGCTCTACGTCAGTCACACAGACACATGCACACACCGGGAGGAGAAATTTTGAAATAATGAGACGGCAAATCAAATTTTAAAAATAATTTGCCGATGCCTAAAGGTTACCTTGTACACACATGGGAAGGAAACCTGAGCTCCAACGGGAGAGCATGCACTCAGATCTCAGATGGCCTCCACACGCTGGTCCCCGGCGGCCTGTCCAGGTGGCCGGGTCACCGCTCCTTCCTGCTTTCTGGAGTGTCCGTTCATTTTCTTGGTCTCACGCCCTTGCCTCATTGGTGGTATCTTCCCAGTTCTTTCCAGGAATCTTTTAAAGCCACGGATCCATTTTTTTTTTACAAATATATTTTATTGATTTTTTTACAGAGAGGAAGGGAGAGCTAGAAACATCGAACAGCTGCCTCCTGCACTCCCCCTACCGGAGATGTGCCCGCAACTAATGTACATTGCCCTTGACCGGAATCGAACCTGGGACCTTTCAGTCCACAGATCGACGCTCTATCCACTGAGCCAAACTGGTTTTGGCAACTCCAGACCCATTTTAAGGGTTTGTTTGGTTACATTTAGATAATCAATGCTGTATTTACTCAACCAGACACAGAAGAAAATGAAATTGTGCCTCTAACAATGAAGTTTTTAGATATTAGTAAAGCGTGCTTTTAAAGAAAGCTATAAATACAAATACAGGTCGTGGTACAGCGGTGGGCAAAGGTAGGCTGACGGTTGCTCGTCTGGGACAAAACACGCAGGTTATGATGATGACAGTCGCTTCAGTGACTCGGGCAACGGCAAGTGGCACAGCGCTCTTAGGTACGTGAGTGCTCAACGTGCCTGCCTTTGTTTACACGCCCTCGCAGTCTCCTTGCTATCCGCAAGCACACTGTGGCTCAGAGCTCCTATAAACCTGCTCCTGCCCAGCCCTGCCTCCCCCTGGACTCTCACGGACCCCTACAGCCCATTGCGTGAACTGTCAGTGTGAACACGTGACGTTTTCTCACCTGAAGGCTGAGTCAGAGTCAGGTGAGCCTCGGCTTCCCCCATACCTGCCCTGAGCCCTCGTGGCGAATGGAAACTGACCCCAGCCTCAGAGCCACTCCTTCCTCCTCCCCAGTAGCTGGCTGACTCCAGGGCTAGGATGGTAGCTCTGAGCAGAGGGCCTCTCAGAGGTTCCCCTGATCTGGCGGGGCTCCCGGATCCAGGGTTCGCCTGCTGGGCAGGAGGAGGTGAGACGACGATGACTCTGGGGCTGTGTTCTTTCTCGTTCCAGATCAAGGAAGACCCCAGTCTGTGCGGGGACCGCCCCTCTGTCTCCGCCGTCACCATGGAGCTGAGCAAGGAAACGCTGGACACTATGTTAGACGGGCTGGGCCGCATCCGGGACCAGCTTTCTGCCGTGGCCAACAAATGACCCTGCCAGCTGCTGGCCCCACTGCCCACGCCCCGGCTGCTGCCAGCGATGAAGCATCTCCCGACTGGACTGACACCAGCAACTCCACTAACACCAGCGGGCTGCCCTGGTGGCCAGGGGATGAAAGGGAGTGCCATCCGAAGGTGCACCTGGATTGGAGGACGCAGCCACACCCCCACGCTGTCCTCATCTTCCTCTTCCCAAGCTGGTAGGCAGAAGCCTCCACCTTTGAAAGGCTCCTGCGAGCACCTGAGGCACAGCCGTGGCCATGTGGGGGCGCATGAGTCTGTCATTGGCCTCGTGGCCACTTGAAAATTCAGGCCCCATTGGGGAGCTCTCTAATTAAGTTCCTTTCCAGTACCAGCTCTGAGGAGCGTGTTGCCAGCCCGGGGCCACGGAGAGCACTAGGTGGCTAGTGTCAGCGGCTCCCGCTTCTTTGTCCGAGAGGCCAGGCCGACCCCACGGAGCAGTCACAACAGTGTGGCCACTTGCCCCAAGGCCAGAGCCTCCTGTCAGCACTGGAGGTCTGAAATGGGAGCTGATTCTCTTCGTGAAGCTGGGGCCCATCCTTGGATCATGTAGCCCCTCCAGGGTGGCGAAGTGGGAGTGATGGGCATAAATAACATTTCTGAAAACAAACTTGTGATTCTGGTCCACTTCTCGTAGCTTCTCTGCTGAGCCTGAGCTCATTGCCTTGGGCGAGGGCTGCCTCCTGTGTGTGGGTGGCCCAGCTTCCTGATGCCCAGCCAAGTCCTTGACCACCTGAAACCACACGGGACCCTCACTGCCTTCCGTGACCTGTGTGTCCTGTAGAGCAGAGGCAGGGTTGGCAGTGTGTTGTCACAGCCTTGATGAAAGCACCCCTTAGTTACCTGACACCTCAAAGGACTCAGTGCATGACCTGCCCCTTCTAGATCGCTCCCTGAGCAGCAGCCTGTTATCCCAGTGCTTCCCTATGGCGTAAGCATGTCAAACTCATGGCCGGAGGGCCGCAACTTACTGTGACAGCTTCTCAGTGGTGTGGGTGGGGGAGGGTGGATGGAGGTGGTGTGGATGGGGGGTGGGGAGGATGAAGGAGAAGCTGGGTTAAGAGACGAACAGGCAGCAGGGGGATGGGAATCAGTTCCATTCCTCGGTGGCAAGGGCTTGACCTCAGCCTTAATCCTCCCAGTTCCCAGTATTTAAAATTAATGGGATAATTACGTTACCTGCTCCTAGGGCTTTTGTGAAGATTAAATGGCAAGGCACCCAAGAGCACAGAGGAAAGCTGCACCGTGCCAGCTCTGGTTGTTAATGGCAGGAAAGGAGCAAGCCCTGCACATTCACTGTTCCATCTGCTACAGCAGCAGGTGTGACCATGTTCCCATCCTCCCTTTGTCAATGCAGAAACCCCCTCATCAAGGTTAAGTCACCCGCTGGTAAGTGGCCTGGTTAGGGCTCGGGCCCAGCTTTCTCCAGCGTCCTTGGCCACGCCACTCTGCAAGGGCCACGGAGCTCGGTGGCTTTGGCTCCATTGGGGATACAGGAACTGCAGTAGAGGTGAGAAATCCTCCCACCTGGGGAGATACCAGGTGCCTCTGTCTGCTGGCTCCTGGGAGCTGAGCTCCCTTCTGTTCAAGCTCCCTTCTGTTCAGGTTAAGCGCCTTTTGAATTCATTTTTCTCCCACTCCTTATGACCCACAAAAATCTTCAAGTCCTGTCCTGTGGGTCAGTAAAAAACTAACCTGAAGCAGGAGCCAGCGTCGGTGCCAGGAGAGCTGGGCATTCCTTTAGCCAGGTCCTGCTGAGCAAAGCCATCTGGGGGCATGGGAGACGGCGGGCATCAGTAGCTGGACCACTCATAAGTGTTTGCTGCTTTCATCTCACGCTCATTTAAAGGGCTGGTTTCCCACCTTTGGGGAAGATGGGTAGTAGGCACCATACTTCCGGTTGGCCTGACCCTCATATAAAAACCCAGGTTTTCCCTAGCCATGGGTCCTGACAAATGTTCATTTCCATCACAAAGGACCACATGGGGAAGGACCCGGGTTGGTCAGGAGGCTGAGGGGCTGAGGGGACAGCAGGCCTCCATTGGGGTCTTCTCACGAAGGAAGGGTAAGCTTAGGATTGGCTGCTGTGAATAATGTGGGCGGGCTCTGGGCTACAGGAGTGTTCCCTCATCCAGGACCTTTACCTCCCCTTTCTGGTGATTTTTCAAGGCCAAAGGCATTGACGTCAGGACCAGACATTAGGGTCTTTCCCACACCAGTTCTCTACACACACTCAGTGGGCACCACGTCCAAAAGGCATTAGTCAAGCTCCATGGCCTGGTATTTGCAAATTTCCAGGAAGTGCGTCCAGTGTGGTGCAACGGGCCTCCCTGATTTTGTTCCTAAGCCGAGATGGTATCAGAAACGAGAGTTTTTGTTATTTTTCTAATGTATTTCGACTCTAGAAACCATTGGCTACCTGGCCATCGGGAAGTTTTCCAGTGGTAGATCATTTACAAGAACTATTTGAACCTGTAACTGCTGACTTCCAAGTCCTGACAATTCCTAAGCATTCTCTTACCTGCATGGCATTGACTTTCGAACAACTTCCTTGTTTAGTGCTCACACATCTGTGGTTTAATTGTCCTTTTTACAACTGCTTCAAGTGAGGGGGTGGGGGGGAGAAAGATTTCCTACGTGGTATTCTCTGGTTGGTGCCAGAGGACGCTAATCCCCCAGGAGACCATTCTTCCTTCGAGGAAATGTTAAGAGCTCCTAGAGGGAAGTCTTGAGCTTCTATTAGCCGTGGGCTCTTGGGAAAGACTCTGACGGCTTTTTAATGCCTTGTCTGTGAGTGGAGATAAGATATCTGCTTGGGTAATGCCTGTCATAGATTTACAGTCAAGTCAGAATTAGACTCCTCCACTGAAGAAGGGGATGTTCTTGACTGCTGGCATCAATGTTGCACTAGCCCAGTGGTTGGCAAACTCATTAGTCAACAGAGCCAAATATCAACAGTACGATTGAAATTTCGAGAGCCAATTTTTTTTAAACTTAAACTACTTCTAATGCCACTTCTTCAAAATAGACTTGCCCAGGCTGTGGTATTTTGTGAAAGAGCCACATTCAAGGGGCCAAAGAGTCGCATGTGGCTCTCGAGCCGCAGTTTGCTGACCATGGCACTAGCTGTACAGCCTTAAACACGTACCACACGGTCAAGTTCAATACAGCCCAGCAAATTGAACAGCAAATGACTTGAGAGCTGCTCGCGGAGGTGACGTCACTGGGGCCATAGTTACAAACACACTGGACTTGCAGCGCAGATGGCTTCTGGTTGGGATGTCAGGAGCTCTGAGAAAGCTCCCACCCCTCCGGACTTCCCTTTGGTGTATTCAGCTTCTGGGAGTGAGGTCACCAGGACATCGATTTCACTGCTTCAGCCAAAACCCAATTCCCATGGTCTGGAGAAAATAATTTCTCTCTCACATAGAAGTCCGGGCTGGTGGGAGGTCTGAGGAGGTCGGATGGTTCTGCTCCGGGGGATGGTCCATGGACCCAGGTTCTCTCCATCGTGTTGCCTCACCAACCACCAGGTGTTGCCCTCATCCCTGTGAGTAAATTCTGCTCATCACTCACTCCCTAACACATGTCCCATTGGTTGCAATCACATGGCCAATATTTAGCTGCAAGGTAGGTTGGAAAATACCTTCTCTGGCTGGGCAGTCACGTGTCTGTCTAGCCACAACACTCAGGGAGAGGAAGTGAGGGAGACTCATCACTAAAATAAAGGAGAAGGGGTAGTGAGAAAAACTGGCATGGCTTCATTGATCAGTTGCTTTCCTGAGACCAGGTTTCATGGAAAAAGAGAAGAGAAAGGCTGCCCGGGAGTGGGGGTGGGGAAGGGGGTGAAGGTGGGGTGGGTGCAGGTGCAGCGGTGGTAGATTCTTCTTGAGGCTGAAGACCAGGTCTCCTTAATTTGGTACCCACAGGAGCTAGCACACAGTAGACTTCCCAATAAAGGTTCACTTGTGTCCTCCCTTCTACAGACCCACATAGGATTTCACCTGTATTAGTAGTAAGTGATGGTTGAAATTACATTGAGTTGACCAGAATGGCAGACTAATAGAATGAACATTGACTTGACTTGCTCGTTGTAAATCTACCTCAGCAGTGCCTTTTACCCTAAAATATTTCATTTAACACCTGCAGAGGGCGCCGGCCAGGTGACTCAATGGGTTGGAGCATCATCCCACACACCTATGTACACCAAAAAGGGTTGTTTCTCACATAGATGTCTCTCCCTTCCTCACTCTAAAATCAATAAACATATCCTCTGGTGAGGATTAAACCAAACCAAACAACAAGACACCTGCAGAGAAATCTGGTGCCTGGGCCTGAATTCATCGACCAGGACCAAGCTCCCATCCCACCTCCTTGCTTCCCAGCCTTAATTGACTGCAGGTGTGTAGAGTGGGGATGGCAGCTCATAGCAGCCTCCCAACCACACGAGTTTCCCCTGGGCAGGAGGAGGAAGGGATAGGAGCTCTGGGAGAGGGTAGGAGGTTGACAGTGAGAAGCAGCATCAGCATGCTGAGCTCCTGTTCCTGTTACAAAGACCAGCATTTCCAAGGGGCCAGTGGCATGACGGTGCCATGTTCTCCCCAACTCCCGGAGAGGCGGGCAAGGAGATAGGCTGGGCCAGGAAGGGAGGCAGCACGCAGTGCCAGGGGCCCTCTCTCTGGAGGGTCTTCCCTTCATCCTGGCTTAACTGCTAATCACACTTCTGGATTAGGAACAGCCCCTACCAGGGACCTAGGACAGGGGTCAGCAAACTGCGGCTCTTGAGCCACATGCGGTTCTTTGACCTCTTGAGTGTGGCTCTTCCACAAAATATCATGGCCTGGGCGAGTCTATTTTGAAGAATTGGCGTTAGAAGAAGTTTAAGTTTAAAAAAGAAATTAAAAGAAATTTCTCTCAAAAGAAATTTCAATCGTTGTACTGTAGATATTTGGCTCTGTTGACTAATGAGTT